GTAAAGCCACGTTTATTTCTAATATCATTTCAGTACCCCTCAGCTCCCACACCTCTGCAGCATTCTGTAATGACTTCCTTCCTGTGTGCTCGTTCTCTAATGGAAACTCCGCAGCCTGTTGTCCATTTTTCCTTATTATTGCCTTCTAGTTTTCAATCATTATCTGGGGAAGCTCAGCCTCAGTGCACTCTTTGGGGCTGGTGTTCAAATCTTTCTAGATCCTAAGCAGCATTGTGTGTGCTGCCAAGGATCACTTGCCCACCCCTGAGCCTTTCTTCCCTCCCTCCTTTCCTTCCTCCTTCCTTCTCTTCCTTCTCTTCCTTCCACCCTCCCTTCCTTCCTCTCTCTCAATCTGTTCATCTCCTTTTGTCTCTCTGTCGCCTCCTCTCTCTTGCTTTTCTCTGTCATCTCTTGTCCTTCACACTTTCTGGTAATCAATTGTTGCTGTCCATCCCAGACGTTGCTAATGATACTGATGAGGGCGTGAGAATGAGAGAACACGAGTGTGAGTGGACAGAAGATGAGTGTGTGTGATCAAGATGGGTGAGTGCACACACAAAGACCTGTGTGTTCCTACACCACAGCAGAAGTGATATAAGAATTCTGTCCCTGTTTGCCACTGGTCCCCTTTCTCTCTCTCTTTTCACTGAGAGTAATTGAGTTCACTGTGTATTTCAAGTATATACTCACATATATATATTGATTTATAATGCATAGAAGGTATGTTCATGTTTACTGTATCTGCAGTATGCTACTTGGAAATGTTCTGAGCTATGTTGAATGTGTTTTATGACTAAAGAGTTAATGCATGCAGTTTTGCTGAAGAATCCCCTTTGAGGGTGCCAGGCACATACTTTTAATGAGGGTTCGACGTATGGGTAGAACTTGTGGATGTACCTCCATATTTTAACAGTAATCTCCTTCTTGGTGTAATTAATCGAAAATTAGTTTCTGAAAGTAAAAATTGGGTCAGAAATGGAGATTATTAAAATGTACAGTTGCAAAAGCCTGACCCTACAAACCCCATTTATGCAACTGAGTTCCAGAATGCTTTCGAGTGGCTGATGAGTCACGGACGCTTCTTCCTCTGGCTGGTTCAGTGCAGGCAAGAGGTTAGCCGATGAGGGGGAATTAAAACAATGTTGTCCATTATATTGGTCCCAGCCATGGAAAAGCCTGTTTTGTATGCAAGGCAGCAATGCCGAGATATATGGAGAGCCCCAGGCTCAGTACAGAAGATAATTACATTTGGAGTTTTACTGAGTTAAGTCATTTACAGCGTCAAATAGTTGCAGAGAAAAATCAGCCCAAACACACTTCAACTTTTTGTTGTGACTTTTCAGGATAGAAAGATTGGTTTTTTTTTTTCTAAAAAATTAGTTATCATCTTATATAACAAAGTACAATTTTGGTAGAGTACTTTTTCTACACAAGTTATTTTCTTGGCTCGTTAATATTTCCCATACAGACATCAAATCTAAACTTACTGGAAATAGTACGGTGTTTGTACATGCTTAGAGCATGCCATAAAACCAGTCTTCGGAGGTGCAGTTAACTTGAGCATAGACAGAGAAAAGTGGATAATATGCTTAACCCACCCCCTGCATTTATTTAAAAGTCAGACCTGGCAAAAGTAGATCCCACCAAACAGAAACTTTTAACTCTTACTGGCTTCATGTCTATATAACTATTGTTGGTGGTATTTTCAAAATGATGTATATCTCTAGATTGATTAATTTGCTATGAGATTCAATTCCTATGATGGGCATAAATAAGTTGTTGGAGTGGTCACAGTTTACCCAGGTACGTCTTCCTGTCTGTCCGCATGATTGATCATGGGCTGCTGTTATTTCACAGTCTGAGACCACAGAGAAGGTCAGGATAGTGGATAGAGCAAGCCATTGGTTGGCCAGGCTCTTATCTCCTGGCGGCTCCTCTGATGATTTTTGGTGAGTGTGGCCGAGGACTGTAAGTGCATAACAGGGATACCGGACGGTTTGCAGGTTTCACATGCTCTGAGAACTCAGCCTTCAGCCTTGATCCCACCGAAGGCAGGGTTTCCGGGGGATGATAGGACGCAAAGATGAGCTGGCTGGAAGTCAGCCAAGTTGTCTGGCTACCTGGGGTGCCATAGTGTTCTGATTGAGAGCCGCTGTCAGGGGGAAGAGGTGTGGTGGTTCTGCGGGTCCCATTTCTTCTCAGCTTAAGAACTGAAATAACTGATGTGTAGCGCTCGTTAGGGGTTAGGAAACTGTAGATACCAGGCATGACCGCGTAGTCTGACAAAGGGAAGAGAGAGAGATGTTTCATGAGAGGTGGAAGTTGCATGAAACTCACGTGTTGTTGTTTGTACGTTACGTTATACAGAGAGACACAGATAGACCACAGTCCACTTAGTGATTCTGTGTGATTATACTCCGCAGAACTGCACCAGAGCCCCTATGGCCTACAAAGCTGAAAACATTTATTACATGGCTGTTACAGAAGTTTGCTGAACAACCCCTGGTCAGAGAGATGAGAAATTTCATTATGTTATTAGTTCCCCCGGGTGTCTAGAGTTCTGCCTTCCCCTCCATATACCTCCGTAGCCATAGCGTGTAAAACCTCCAGTCCAACATCAGTCAGCTCCCCATTCCAGCAGCTTTGTTAAGCAAGTGCTTGCCCACCTTTGCCTCCGGGATACTGGCTCATTTATTCATCTCCTTACAGAGCAAGGACGGGACTGTTCTGGAGGCTCTATGAAGGGTGATAGTGGTTAGAAGTGGGTAATACTGCCCTCCTGTTTCTTATATTCTACGAGGAAAATTGGACTCTAAAATAGATGATAAGCGGAAGGCTAGACAATGACTCAGCAGTTAAGAGCTCTTAATGGCTCTTGCAAAGGACCAGGATTCCCAGTATCCACGTGATGGCTCATAACTGTCCACAACTCCAGTTGCAGGGGATCGGACACACTCTTCTAGCCTCTCCAGGTCCCTGCACACATGGTCCACATAAACTTATATACCACGTACACTTATACATAAACTATAAAGAAAATAAATACATCCTGCAAAACCACCGGTGAGCTGGGCATGGTGGAGCACTCAGAAGGCAGAGGTGGCTGAATCTTCAGGAATTCAAAGCCAGCCTGGTCTACATAGGGAGCTCCAGGCCCGCCAGGGCTGCATAGTAATACTCTTTGTCTCCAATAAAAACAAACAACAACCAAAACCAACTCATAGATAGCCAGTGGGATTGCCATTGGCTAGCCAGTTGACACAAGTTCTTCATAGCAGAGCTTCACCTGAAAAAGGGTTCTGGTGCTAGGAAGGGAGCAGCTAAAACCGGATGTTTCCCGTTAGCCATTCCTCCAGACAGCCAGTTGAAAGATGTGAACAGTTCCTTGTCTGTCTTGTTTCTGTGGCACTGAGGGTTGATCCCAGGGCTCTACAGATGCCAGTCAAGTTGTTCTGCCGCCAGGCTGCATCCCCAGGCTGAGTTTTCATGTTCAAACTCTTGCCCTGAGAATTCAGAACTCCTCTGAGTGCTAGATGAAAGAGTGTGCATAGCAAGCCTAGCAACTTTGGGAGCCTTGGGGACACTGATCAGTGTGATTAAAGTTACATTCCTAGTGTCTTCCCGTTTCTTTCAAGTTCAGCATTTTCATGTTTTTGTTTGTTTTTGTCATTGCATATACCGATGTTGTAAATGTGCTGCTTTTTTAATATTATTATTATGTTCCGTTTTGCTCCAAGGGACAAGTGCTCACTCTGTAGTCCAAGCGGGCCCGGAAATCACTGCAGTCTGATAGCCTCAACCTCTTGAGGCACTCAAACTTGGGAATGTTCACTTTAATTTACTTAACTCCAAATGGTGATGTCCATAGAGCCAGAGGTAGTGGGGCCGGGCAGGGACCTGCAGTGTAAGACTTGGACAGCCTCTCCGTTGCTAGTCCCCATGCACACCACCATCTCCCGCTCTCAAGCACAGCATGGGTAGCCCCTGCTCCAGAAATGGACAGCACAGCGCTAGTTCACGGAATTACTTCTTTTCAATTAAGGCATTTCTTTCCCAGTTCAGGGGATTCTTGATGGTCTCAGCTTCCCGAAGTTTATTATAAAACTGCTAGTTATCAAAGTGTAAACGTAGGAAATATTTATCGCACAGCAGCAAGGTTGTGTTCAAACAGTTAAGATTTGAATAATTCCTGCCCCCGCCCCCCACGATGGTGCGTTAGACTCACACATCTCCCATAGCCTGCCATCTGACTTGCTGGCTTCGTGTTGGGAGGGGTAGAGGCCACTCCTTTGCCCCCGTTTCACATGGACCCACACTGGCTCTGAGCATGTGCATTTGTGGTGGTTCCTTATATCTCAATTAGAGGATAAGAAAGACTACGAGACGACTAGGAAGGCCACTTGGATGCTGTTCTGTGTACCTGTGCGGTACCCTTGATCTATAGTGGACCCAGAACAGAAGGTCTCGGTGCCTCTGCTCCATCACTCACAGCTCCCTGAAGCAGTGAACCAGTGGTTAGTCATGAGAAGCAATGCCTGGAGATGTTGCCCTTCTTAGTACTACTGTCTCCACTCCAGTCAATGGGAAAACCTTTGAACTCTCTTCCCAGCACTGTACATGAGAGCTTGCCTGTCTCTGTGTAGGTAAAATATAACGGACTGCACAAAGCCCACATTTTTGCCAACCTATCGATTACAAAACAAGGGAAGTGCGTATCTTAGAGTATGTAGTGAGGGATTCCTTGAATTGGTGTCATGGAGAGGAAGTCGCAAAGATCTTGGAGTGGATGTTCTGAGGTTTGATCATCTCTCTCCTTGTTTCACTACTCAACAGCCACTTAGAATGTCTTACCAGTGAAGCCAAGCGCTATGAACCCTGGGAGGTCACATGAGCAGACATAGATAGGACTTTTTTTTTTTTTTTTTTTTTTAGGCCAGAGGTGCATTTTCATTATTCCATCGGTTACCTGTTCTCCTCTTTGGATGATTTTTTTTTGTAAA